GAATCATATCTTAAAGAAAAGGCTCTAATATATTATATTTAATTATTAGAGATAAACAATATATTGACAGATAAAATATTTTAATATTAAAGTGTTTTTTCCCCTTCCTTCTTCTTTTTCTTGATGTTGAGGGTTTTGTTGCATTTTTATGTTTTTTTTAATGCTGCTACATTTTAATTAATGTTGCAGTTTTGTCATTGATGTCCATATTTCATTACCATATGCTGCTGTTGAGTAAATTATACAATGTATGGTACTGTGAACATATTTTATTTGCTAAATGGAAGAATTCTTTAAAATACTTATACTGAGAGAAACAGAGCAAAATTTGACTTAGCAGCACATAGTGTTTAAGGTACTTAGCAGGTAAATTGTTGTCAGCATCTTGAAAGAACTTGGCACAGTTCTTCTGTGGATTAAAGCCCGTTCAGTTGCGCCTGTCTCCTCATGTAATCCCAGACTGACGCAATGATGCTGAGATCAGGGCTCCTCGTGACCAAGTTGTGGCAAATGTTCTCACTTCATTTCCTGTTGCAGAAAGACTAGAATCAAATTTTCACAAAGAGCTGTCCCTAATGAATAATAAATGTTTCCCTAAAGTAGGGTTTGATGAATAACGAATGAATGTTTCCTGTAAAAATGAACAGTGCAAAATATCAAACAGACTTGTTTACTGCATTAAACATGCAACATGTGTTTTAAGGTATGCAGCTCCACATCTTATTACTTCTTAGTTGGTTCTCACATAAAGACAATTGCATTTATTATCGCCTGCTTTTTCACAAGTGTGGGTGAAAAAGAATCAACACTCTCAAAATGAGGAGGTTGAAGTCGGCGTCTCTTTATTCAGCCGTGCACAGAATAGGAGAGGAGCTCCCTGAGTAAAAGGACTGTCAGGATTTATATTCTTCTTATCACACTACCTATGGAACGACAAGTTCTCTCTGTTCTAGACAATTTATCTTTGTCTGGTCAAAGGAGGATTGCTTTGCATTTCTCTTTCACCTTGCATAGAATCAGTAATTTCCCTCTTATCCATCACAGGAGTGTAGCTGTCTGTAGTAGGATTGTGTCTCTCTAACAACTCCTTCACATTCTCACAAACTATTAGCCTCCTGGAGAAACAGAAAAACAATCCTCAGTATTTTTCCGTCAACAAGTACTACTTGTAAGCCTTATGCAACATTAGGCTTCTATGAATCCTTTTTTATTTGGGTTGTAATCACTCTTTTTTGTAAGGTAACAGAGGAACAGACAATGTGTCAGAGGCTTCCCAGTTCCACACTGACAGTAGTTTTCCCGAAACAAACTCCTCCACCTTTCCGTGCAGGATTGAGCAACACATCCTTTACACAACACAAACCAAATAAGTTGGTCATTTGTGGGGATGTCCAATCAGTTCAGTTCAGCTCCGGCTTTAGCCAGTGGGGACAATATAAAAACGTATCACATGTGTATAATCTGTTTCTACTTTTCCGATTCCCTCTATAACACTGGCAAACAATGAGGAGATTAAAAACCATCTGTGCATTACTCAGTACTTTACATATATACATATATACATAATACTAATGATATAATACCCAGATTTGTGCTCCCGTGTTTATCTCAGAGGTGTTTTGAGCTCAGAACAAAATCTAAATGTCAGAAGTGATACAAAAGTCTGTATGTCACCCTCTGGTGGTTGTGTTCAAATCATTAAACTGACCTTATCACACATTTACTAAATCACATCAAAATCTGATTAATTTAAATGAGATTCTGTCTTTAAATAGCCTATTTCAGAACACTCAACCAACCAAGGTCATTGTTCTGTGAGAGGATTGCCTTCACACACACTGACAGATGGACAATGGCAATTAAAAAGGCCGTCACTTACATCATCTCATCATAGTGTAGAATTCATGCTTATAAATCATGTGTAAATAATCTTATCAACAAAGGAATAACCAGTTAATCATGACATCAACAGAAGTTTAGCTGTGGTGTTTTGGTAGCTGGTTAGGCTGGAGCTTATTTTAACTACATTATGCAAAGCTACACTTGGGTAGATGTATGTTTCTATTTAAAGTCTGAAGCAGTAAAATAAGACGCAGCTGTCAGATAAATACATTGAATAAAAAGTACAACATAGCTCTCTAAAATGTGGTAAAACATATTACATGAAAAAGTAGCCTAAAATGAAATAATTGTGCAAAAGGAAAGCTACGTTTTATTTAAATACAGTACTCGGGTAAATATTAATACCCTATTGTACATTCAAAAATAGGCAATTTCTCAAGAAAAAATACAAAACAAATAATTTAAATAAATCTCAGAATCTTACTTAACTTAACTTAAAGTTAATGTAAAGTGAACATAACTAATTTCCAAGTAATTACATTTTATAACAATTCTATTTCAGATTAAGATGTATTTTTCTTTATCTTGCCTCTTTAAAAAGATAGTAGTTTATTACTCCAGCAAAAAAAAAAAAAATGCAATTTCTAAAATTTCAACAAAAATCACTTTAAGGTTGTTGTTTGCGATTACTTATGAACTTTATTTTGAAAAGGCTAGTATATGTGACGTCATTAAATCGCGACAACGCACCCGTTGATGAAATCGTTTGCAACTTCTCCGACTTAAAAGCTGTTTATTACCCGTTAAAGCTACAACTATCATGTCGGTTTTACAGAAGTTCTTCATTCTTACTCTTTCACGGAGGAGGACGGACGCGGTCAGCCGGTTGTCTCGGTGTTATTTCAGTTCAAATCCCTCCAGACTCTGTTCTGTGTTTCGCTGTCCGAACACCAGAACCAGAACCAGGACTGGGCTGCCCTCCTCTCAGGACCAAAGTTTTCAGAAACTGTTACCTGCTGGCAGGTATGAAGCTGTTTCTTACGGTTACAGAAACTTCTCAACTTCATCGAGTATCAGGAGTGAAGCTATCGGGCAGGTCCAGTCAAAACACTATCAGCTGATCTACACGTGCAAGGTAGCAGAAGCTAAAAACAGCTCAACATCTCCAAACATTTTTGTTGTCCTTTTTTTTTCTGTGAGCTCACCTGTTTCCCCGTAAAGGTCACACATCTGTATCTTGTTTACAGGTTTGCTCCACCAGGTCCATGCAGCAGATCTCCAAGGTGGCTTACCACAAAGGTGTGGTGATCGTGACATGTCCGGGGTGTAAGAACCACCACATCATCGCTGATAACCTCGGCTGGTTCTCTGACCTGGAGGGGAAGAGGTTGGTGGTGCTGTGGGCTGAAACCACAATCAATTTGTCATTGATTTATAACAGCATCCAAGCCATAAACAGTAACACTAGTAGGGTTGCAAGGCTGTTGCTCCTTAACATCACATTGAACTGTGTTTTGGTGTCACGTGATGTGAGGCTGATGAATGTTGCAACACAGGCCATTGATTTTGTTGCCTAAAAGCTCATGTAACTATTTCTCTGTCTGTTTTTTAAAACACACATTTGATAGGCATCTCATAAAGTGCTGT